GATGCCCAGTCGCAGAGGTGACGCACGTTACAGTATCTGTGGGTCTGACCTTATAATGAGATTCCCTGAATCCACTTAAACCATGTTTGCTCTGTGTGATTTTCTTCTACACAACGCCACAGGAGGCAAGACCTTCCCCAAGTAAAAATCTGTTGTTAAAAACCTCTATCAGAGAAAGAGGTCGAGTGTGGGCAGTATGTACGTGTGCGCACGGGGAGGGGGTGTCAGAGCACACTCCTCCCAGGAGGGGTAGTGGGAGGCTGGCAGGACAGCAGCAGCTTGGTCTGGCTCCAGTGGGTTGTCCAGGGAGTGATTCCCACTTCCCCTAAGGCTGCCTCTCATTAGCATGAATCGGGGGAAGGGCATAAAAGACTCCGGTTCATTTTGAATCTGGAAAAAACTTTTCTTCAAAATGACAACCAAAGTGTTCTGGCTCCTCTGCTTTGTCCTGAGACCACCATCCAGCTCCGTGGCCGGTAAGTCTGCTAACGCTCACAGCGGGGCTGGGGTGTGCTTGCTAACACGTCTGACTGCAGATTCTCGCCCGGGCAGCCCTCTTCAGCAGGGGTCTTCTCAGTGAGTGGGAGCAGTAATCACGCAAGGGCTCAAGAAAGAAGCATTTCGACATGTTTGTGGGATGGGACTGTAAAGTGTAATATTTGATTTGTCAGCATTTGAAAGAGTCACGAGCACCTGCCAAAGCAGGCAGCCAGTGCCCTGAGTCCCGCTGGCCGTTGTGCAGCAGCTGGAGTCGGGCTGCCTTCTGCATCTGGGATCCTTTCTATTCATCTGGGACCTTGCCCTTTTCATCTCCTTCCCCTCACCTGTAAATTTCCATTTCTCCACATTTCTGATTTATTTCAGCACGCTCTGTGTGTGCCTGCAGCAAGCTGTCCTAAACAGATTTATTATTATTTTTAGTACCTCATTGATGGTACAGAAATAAGATCTCCATCTATTCCATTGGGAAGGAGAAGTCCAGGAGCTGATTATGTCAGAGTTGCACTTCTTAAGTTGCCATTTCTCTACATTTCTGATTTATTTCAGCACGCTCCGTGCTGTCGTGTGTGCCTGCAGCAAGCCGTCCTAAACAGATTTATTATTATTTTTAGTACCTCATTGATGGTACAGAAATAAGATCTCCATCTATTCCATTGGGAAGGAGAAGTCCAGGAGCTGATTATGTCAGAGTTGCACTTCTTAAGTTGCAAGAGCTAGATGGCAATATGCTGGTATAGAGGAACAAACCTTGAGGTCCTGAACAGATTAAGTAGAGAAAAATGAACTGTTTCTGGTTACAACCCGTGCCTGAGAAGGCACAACAGACTGCTAGAAAAGTACACTTAAAAAAACGAGTCCAAAACACCTGTTCAGAGTTACAGCTTCATATTGAACCACCTCCAAAATACCCTTGCCTATTGCTTTCTTTAGCTTGGACTTCTTCCACTCTTTTCTTCATGGACATTCTTTTGACTTTACATGTGGCCAGCCTGAATATCAGGGAATCTTTCCCATGACAGCAGCTGGTGAGAGCGAAGGGGGAGAAGTGGCGAGGTCAGCAGTTGAGTCAGTTACAGAAGATAAACCAGGACGTTGTTCATCTGTGTATGTCAAATATCTCTTTTCACATAAGGAGTTAGGATCAGCCTCCTACACGATGCTGACCACAGGCAGTGAACACCCAGACAGCGGCTGTGTGTGGGTGAACTGTTGTAAAACCCTGCTGGCTAACTAAAGGCATGCAGCGAGGGACTAAAGTAAAAGGAAAATGAACTGCAAGAAGAATTTTCTTTCTTCCTAGGCTAAATGGAAGGTCATTTTGCTTTGTGAGGTCCAAGTGATCAAGGTGAAGGTATAAACAAAGGCCGAGGTGACTGTCCAACTTGTGTGAACTGTGTCATTAAGCCTTTTGATTTTTCACTCGATTCCCAGACACTTCCTCTCTTTCTCAACCCTTGTCCTCTCAACTTGAGAAAAGCCTTGAAATAACTGTTAACTCAGCAGCGATAGCCTAGCGACCAGACTGTGGTACTGCTGCTAGACAGCTCTGTAGTGCAGGAGTCAGAGACCAAAACTGTGGATAAAGATCTTTTCAGTAGCCTTCAAAGACCAAAGCCACTGAAGAGTCCAGATGATGTTGTCAATAAGGCATCCCATGGATGGGAAAACCAAAGAGTTCTTTTGTCATGGTCTTTTAAACAAGCATCCCCAATGGCAATGTGAACCTTGCTTCCTCAGACGCTCCCTGGAGATTCAGGCTTTTGAGAAAAGGGTTTGTTTATAAGTCGTGTTTTTAATTTGCAACAATAATAAAGTAAAAATGCAAATCTCCCATTTTGGTCACACAGCTGCATTCTCTGTACGGGGCCTTCCATGTTTGAGTACAGAAGAATGAGGAGCTCTACTCCAGATCATCTGTTGAACTACTGATCAGTTATATTGTCTTATTGTTGAAGGCCTCACTTACAGGCTAGCACCTCAGATCTGCCAGGCACTTCCCATTCAAAAGGACCTGCAATAAAAAAATTAAAGTGCTAATTTGTTCTCTTCTTTTTTTTTGGATGTAGGATCCCTGCCCTATGCTGCAAAACCTGGTCAGGCTCTCAGCAAAGACCCTTACGGATCCACAGGTGCTGCCCCTGGCCCAGTCAAACTGCCAGGGAGCACCAGGGAGAATCCCACCGGGCACTGGCTGCGGCCAAAACCTCCCGAAACCATCTCCCTGCCAGCAGACAAGAAGAAACGCACTGAGCCTTCTCTAGAGAACAGCACAGGGCTGAGGAAGCACCTCCTGCGGTACGGAGGGGCCCTGCCTCTGCAGAACCCAACCCAGGGGTCTTCTCCTGCCTCCCTGCACTTCACCCACGCCAACAGCAACGAGG